ACGTCTGGATGGTAAATCGTCTCTGATTACAAGCAATATTGGATCAGCTCCTCTGGAGGTGTTCTTCAGTGCTTGCTGAGTACACCAGCGATCATCTCCGAGGGTTAGGCACTTTGTAAACTCTTCACTACCAGTGGTTTACGGAGAGTATCTCGCTACATGGCATTCCCGTCTACCCACAAAGACATTAATGATTAACAACGATAACAGCTCTGCTTACTTAGAAAACTAAAATACCCTAAAGTCAAGTAAATTGCAGTCCCTTGTGAAAGCTTGTTGCTGATTCACCCTCCCGCTTCAGCCCAGCCCTGGAAGTTTCCCTCTGCCAGGCAAAACCTTCTTGAGAGGAGAGCAAAGATGAAAGTCTGTGCTCCTTTCACTCTTGTCTTGGCTCTGACTCTGAGCAGTGACTGTACAAGAATGGTAAGTCTGATTCTTCTGTTTTGGAGTGGTGGATCACCTATGTGCTGTCTGGCAGGACAATGTTGCCTTGGGGCTGGATGAGTGAAGTCACTGACCAGACCAAAAGGAAGAGTGCTTCAAATGAAAAAAAAAAAGGGATTTGCTAGATGAAGACTCACAGAAGTGCTGACTAAGTGGGGGGCCTGTAGGATAGCTGATCCCATACATATCTGCATTTAAAGAAGTTTCTTATATCCTTGCCCTGCTAGGAAGGAAGGAGAGGAGGAAGGAGCACAAAAACTGAAATGCTTTGAAAACGCATCTCAGAAATGTGTTGACACAAGTAGGTACCTGCAGTAACATGGAAGGAGAGTGCCACCCCAACAGACTTTCCTGCCACCTGGTAACTGAACATGCCAGCTTAGGTAACCATCTCCTTCTTTTCAGACCTCTCCCTGTATTCATGCTGTACCTTTCAGTGTTTTCATAGTGTGCTTTGTGTCCTTTTTGGGGCTATGTTTACAAGGCACGTGTAGCACTGCTGAGCATGGCATGAGTGATGGTTTGCCTTTGCTAGTTTGCTTAAACCCCACCACAGCCTGCCATCCACCATGGACTTGCAGCACAGCCAATAACCTGGACCCTCAGTTGTGTGGCTTTATTATTAGCCTTATTTCACTTGCTAGGTTAAAACTAGCTCAGATATATGTAAATGATGCTATAATCCTAACTATACCAGTGAAGTACAGAAGTGTCTCCTTAGATGTTGCAGGTGAGAGCAGAGAGGAATATTCATGGTGTCCAGGAAAAGGTCATCCCTGGCTGAAGCTATTGGAGACGGCTCAGTGCAGGCAGAGTCAATGTAGTCCTCAGAACTGTTCAAGTCCTCCCTACACATCTTAGCAACAGCTTTGTCTGATCCCTTACTTGTCATGCCCTCTATTCAGTTCTGCATTCATGATGTGCTGCTGCTTTGACTGCTTTTGTGATGTCTTTATTTTGCTATAGTTCAGCTGTCAGCACCTTTGGTGGCAGCAGCACTTTACGGGTATTACCATTTTTTATTATTTCCTGTGGCTTGAAGTCAGCTCAGCCCAGTGCTCTTTGCCTGTTGATCAGCAAACCCAAATAAAGTAGAGGTTGCTTTTTTAACTAACGTCCTGGGTGACACAGTTAAATGGCAGGAAAAGTCGAATGCTGGGATATTATTTGTAACTATGCACTGGCCCCAGAATGCAGATATGCTTCCTGCCGAGAGAAATAGGAGACGTGTCCCTTGGCAATAGAAAGATATAATGGAGCATAGCTTTGGCCTTTTTTGTGCTGTGCTGGGTTTTCCTGGTTTAACAGAGAACTTTCACGAACCAGTGTTTATCTACCTTCTTTCACCAGACTGTGCCCCAGCAAAAATCACAAGCAGATAATGAGATATTTGCAGAAGCACTGGGAGAAACACAATTTCAGGGCACCCTGGAAAGCATGTTTGTCTCTCTAAGATGGTTCTTGGAGTGAATTTTTGTCTCCAATCTATATTTTTTTTTTTCTTTCTGTAGCACTACATACCTGGGGCAGGAAGAGGCTCAAAACATGAGTTCACTCACCCACAAGGTACAAAGTCAAATCCAGTAGGTTTCATGACAGTAAGAATGATCTGCCTGTCTGTATCCATGCTGTGCAAGTCGGGAGTAAGCCTGTCTCTGTTTCAACATGAATAAGGATTATGGAATGATTATGTCAATATTAGTTTCTGTGTAGAGGGGAGTCTGGGATTAGCTCAGGAATCTCAGGTAATTTTCCTTCAAGTGTGGATTAGTGGGAAGGTGCTGATGGGATTTCAGTTTGTCTCAGCGTGTCTTATATTCACTCTTAACATGGTGTGGCTGAAGATGTGCAACTCCCTTTGTTTTAATCAGAGATGCATCTGCCCTGTAACTTTAACGTATATAAGCTCTTTGTATGTATATGTTCAATTTCTGCCACAGCCCTTGATCTCTCTGTGGGAGAAGGGTTTGAGCCCTGTGCAACGCTCTGGGTTGCCTTTGTTTTGATGGCGCTTAAACAATCAGACATCCTGGCTGTGCGCAGGCATTACAGACTTCCATTTTTAAAGCTTTTATTGTTCTGTGCTTTGCTGTAAAGGACTACCTGAATCGAGCCATTAGTGGTGATTTCATAGCTCAGAACAGTCTTTAATGGACTCTGGGATGCAATATGTCTTCTGAATGGATGTATTTTCACAACTCTCCTAGCTGCTTATAATGGGAGGTATCAGACAGAGAAGGTAAATAACTGAACATTTGCTTAATTAGTTCAGACAATGAAAATCAGGCTTGAAAAAGGGATAGCGGAGGGGCTGGAAGGACCTATTTCACATTGACAGATAACAGGACAGTAACGACAGATAAAGTGTCCGTAATTCCAACTGGTTAGGAAGGGTTTGGACCACAGCGACTGGTTATTTTTTCCATAATGCTAGTAACCGGCCTCAGGAGGTTTTGAGATGATGAGTCTGGGCTTGTGAGGGTTAATAGATATCTCAAGGGTGTGCAGGAGCCCCAGTCATCATGGAAGGGGTAAGCTCAGGACAAGGAGAGTCGTAAATCATCACTGAGAAATGGAAATGTGCTGTGCTGCCAGAGTGTTGTATGCCCCATTTCTCTCCTACAGCAGTGGTTGGCCTCCCATTCACACTCCCAGCTCTCAAAAGTGATTGCTTTTTTGTTTAATGGTAAAATAACTTCTGACAGTTTTTCATTGTCTTTTTCATCTTCAGTCTCCTTTCTCAAGACTCATCTTGAAGGATTTGTTCTGTTAGACTCCCACTATCCTTCCTAGACACCCACCACCCTTCCTTAGACTCCCATCGCTGATGTGGTAAACGTAAAACTTGCCCTTTTCAGACACCAGTGCCATCAGTTTCTCCCCACTTTAAGGTATCTGCTTACCCCAAAGGGAAGGTGGTATGATCAAAATTATCTGTCATCTCCCACAACCTTTAAAACCTTATTTCTCCTGACTGTTTCTATTTCAGTTTGTACTGTCTAGTGCTTTAATTGTTTTAAACAGATGTTACAATGTGATATGGAGCCTGAAAGGATACTACTTCAGAAATCAATTTAATATGCTATTACAATACTACATAATTAGAAATGATAATTGTAATTAATGAATATAATTGGCATTTGCTGTACCAGAAATTGCCATGTATTTGGAGCTGAAACGATCTGAGATCTTTATTCTACTGCAGAGCCCATTAAGCTTTGTTATGTAGGATTTTAAGCCTCTTCTTACACGCTAGAAGTTGCAGCAGAGTCCAAAGTACAGCTGAAAAACTTGAATATATCTATCTTCATGATTTCATATAATAACATATAATATATACACATGTGGATTGGTGTTCAGCTGCATGATGAGTTTTTTATTCTTGTATTTCAGTGTTTACAGAGGATGGAAATTTATGCAAATTTCCTTTCCGGTACGGTGGAAGGTTTTATCACTTGTGTTTGTCGAATCAATTTTCCCAAAAGAAATGGTAAGTTAACATTGCTCATAAATGAAGACAGCATTCCAATGAAAATGTCATCCTTTTAGTCCTTTAATTTTGTTTTTAGAATAATTAATTTGGGCTTAGTTTTTGTGCCTACGGAGAGCCATGAAGTTGTCCCACTGACAGTCAAGACTCTGAGGTTGACTTGTGCTCAGAGGGGAGGGAGCTCAGGCATGGGATCTCCAGGGCCACAGAAAGCTCAAGAACTGCAGAAGTGTTTCCTTCTTGGCCTTCATATCGACATTGCAACTTAGATGAGTGGCAAGAACTTGTGCAGAGAGGGCAGGACCAATGGAATGACCTGATAGAAATCCTCTGATGAGGGAGAAAGGAGAGATAGAGACACCAGTAAGCGATGACACTTGGTTAAGGAATTGTTTGATTTGTATGGGCCATACTTGTACTGCAGCAGAGACCACCTGATTTTTGAGGAAAGTTGTCGTCCGTCCCCTCCTGCCCCATCTCTCTAACTTCTATCGAGACTGGCACCAAGCTGCTTTTGGACAGTGCAGTACTAAGAGGTGAAGTATTACTCCTGTTTGTTGGGTAATGATTTATTCTAGTAGTGTGTTTAAGACCAGATCTCCTTATTTTGGGCAACGGTTATTCTTTTGCATACGCAGAAGTTGTTAAAAGTATTCATTGTCCATTTTGGGGTCGGGGCAGTCAGGTAGGAACCCTGCTGAAGCAAGCACTGAATAAACAAGGCTAACTTTGCAGATGAACCTATCTAATGGGCTTATGTTACAGAAATAAGAGGCAATGTATGTACCGGTAACGTGCAAATATCTGCACAGATGAGCACATACTTGCCTGTTTTCAGGGTAGAGATAATATTTTATAGAGTTTATTTTACTTACTCATGCAGGGCAGACTCTCATTTTATATACTGGACTGTCTGATTTTTTCATGATCTGTGTCATCTTTCTGATGGCACATCTGTTTTAAGTGTAAGTGCTGGTGTAATACAAACAACACAACACATACCTTCTTACACAAATAGGCATAAAGCTTCAGGCTAGGAGACCACATCTGAATTTCCCCAACATCTATAGATACAATCCAGGTAAGAAAAGCCTCCAGGAAACAAGAATTCAAGAATATCTGAACTAAAGGAACTGGAATAATTTTCCAGTTTGGACCCCGTCTTTGATGAACTGTAGCCACGAAGAGTTTGTCCTTTGGACCCACTTAATTTCATGCAATACTTAAGATGGGTCTTGTTAATACATGGCACACTCTGTATTTGTTTTCAGTCAGTTAGGCCACAGAAATGGAAAAAAAAAAAAAGAAGGAAAAACCAGTGAATGGATGGGATCGAAGGTTAGAGCACACTTTAGAGCTGACCTTGGACAACTTGCTCTCATGCTTCCGATTTTTTAAAAGCCATTTACAAGCGGGGAAATGAAGAGGAGGACAGCTGGAGCTGTTTGGTTTTGACAGGCCATTTCACCCCATGGCTGACCTTCTGGCCAGTGTTTACTCTTCTTTCATAAGCTAAAAGCAACCTAATGTGTGACTCCAGGCACAGAGACCTCAGGAAAAGAGCCCTGAATAGCGGCCGGGAAACCTGCTCTGTGCATTTTTGTGTGACTTGACACTAGCCCATGCTGAATGGATGCTGAATAACTGATCCTGGGGGAAACTGGCAGGCAGCGGGTGAGGACAAGGCTTGTGTTCTTCTTGCTCCTGCTTACCTGTAAGCTGCTGGTAAGGATGGAGATGATGAAAGGCTGGATGCACCCTACCTGTTCGGGGGCAAATGCAAGGAGACCACATCAGGAGAGTGCTGGATTATGCACTTAATGAGTCCGTGTCCTTAGTCCTTGAGTCATACTTTAAGGCAGAACTATATATAGTGTAAGCCAAAACCTGCTCCAATGGGCTTTAATTTTATGATATATTTTCTTATACTACATATGACACAGATATTTTGTGCTAGTCCATCATATCAAGTTCAATTGAAAGATGGTGTTCCTCATTTAACAGCCATGTCTACCTTAATACAAAGCTGGATCTCATTTATGAGATCTGCTGTGTTGATTCAAAGGGCTAAATGTGGAAGGCAATCAGACATGATGTTGTCCATTTGTAACATTAAATGTTTCAACATTAATCAGAGTCCTGACCACAGAAACCTCTCCCTGCTTACTCTGAGAGCAACAAACAAGTTGTATCTTTATAAATATTTATCAAAAATACAGGAAAGAAGACAAAATAATTGCAGTATTCAAATAACAAACTTCCTTTAACAGCATCCTGTATTGCATTTCCCTTTAATTATAATCTGTTTTCACAGATAAATTTATATTTAGTGGCCTCTTACCATGTACTAAAGATGTCATGTAAACTTGCCTTTTGTGCTGAAGAGAAAAATTTAGCTGGAATTGTTGCTAAACTTCATTGGTACCTCCAGAAAGACAAAACAGTGTAGGAACAGACAAAATAGGGTTGCATTGAACACCTGTGAGAGCAAATGGGGAGGGTGGTCTGAATTGCAGTCAAGCTGTGGCTGCAGGGGTGCTGCCAGTGCCCTGCCCTTGTGTCCTGTGGTGGGATGGGTTCCCCCAAGATCCTGCTAAAGGGGAACGGCGGGAACAGCCTTTGGGTTAGATTTTAGCTGTGAATTGGAAGGTGTTGACTCTTGCCCTGGAGAAGCCTTGTCCTGTGCTTGAACGTTGCATGTGCGGGTCCCCATTATGCCAGTTTGCAAGGATGGGCTTAGGTCTGTATAGGAAGGGCATGGCCCTACCATCTTCTCTGGAAACCGAAAGATTTGATACTTTGGCCACAGACTGAAAACAGTACAAAGGAGAGCTTTTTGGCCAGCTGGATTACAAGCTGGAGAGTTTATGGCAGTCTCGAAAAGGAGAAGGACATGTGAGTTGAGCCAGGAGATACCAAGCATCAGACTGTTTTTTTCTGGTGCTGGTGGTGGTTGCTCTGGTGTTATCAGGCGAAGTCTCTTGTGGTCAGAACAATACCTAAAAAGGTCTGAGGAAACCTCCAGGCCTTGAACACAGTGAAAACGCCAGGTGTGATGGCAGAGCTCTTTCCTTCCACCAGTCTGCTTTTGGACTGAGGCTTTGCTTGCTCTCCAAAAATTCCTATTATTAAGTCCCCCAATGCTCCTGATGGGTAAACCAGACTGCTTTCCATTTATCCTGCCTACCAGTTAGGCCTCATCTGTGATACACCATTTTGTCCATCCGTTCCCATGCTGTTTACCATGCATGGGTTTAAAAAGTTGTTTAAATCAATCCCTACTAGTGGACTTTTCTGATGTAATTAATCTGGTATTTGTGTCTTTAAGTTTTCACTTTTTTATTAACAATTTTATGTGACAGGCTGATGTAAAGACAGTTGTTATCTCATAAATTTAGAGAGCGGGCCCATTTGCAAGTAGCACAAAGACATAATAAGCCCGTTTGGTTGGTCTGGCTGCTGGAGGTAACAACCCGTGAAACCAAAATGTCATCACATTTTTGGTAAGCCTCCCAGCAAAGAAGAGGTTTTGAAAAGAAAAGGAGGGAGACTAGTGAAGTAGCTTTGAGGATGTGCTGAGCTTTTCCCAGACAGTGAGAGATACGTGGTGGAAAATATAAAAGGATTAGGTGAATATACAAGAAGTCTGGCACTGAGGAGGCAGCCTGGCACCGCCGGGGAGGGCCAACTTCTTCATAGCCACTGCAAGGTGACAGGGAAGGAGAGGTTTGGTTGTGAAGTGCATTGGGTGGGAGGACCAGTGGGTTGTGGAAAGCTAGTGGAAGATGCCTCTATCAGGGTCTCTGATAATAAAAAATATTTCAGAGGGGAAAAAATTGAGTTCTCCATTTGCTTAGAACTTGGCTGCTGCTGGACAGACTCCAGGAGTATTAATTTGCATATAAATTGGTTTATTCCCCCTAATGATCAGAGTTTGCTTGCATTCTTTAGGCGTATACAGCGCCTTTTCCATTTGCCTCTTCCATGCTGCCCAGTGTAATGTTGCTCTGCTAAATCAATAATTATGTCAGTCAGAAAAGTCAGAAATATTTGGATTCTCCTTCCCTATCACAGCTGGCACAGATCAAGTGTTCAGTCAGAGATGGTTTTGCCAACAATGACACAAGCAGGGCTAAGAATCACTTTTAATTTACTCCTCACCTTAATCCTCATGTACATCCTTTAAAAAAGCACAATCTACTTCCCACCAAAGAAGCACAGAGAAATTTCCATCAGCTCCCAGGAGAGTTGCATGGGCCTTGATGCCTGTGAGAAAACAGCCTCTTTAAGTATGTGTCAAGTTAATCTGCACTAGACTACCAAGCGCCTTTCTTTTTGTGCACCTTGTATAATTGAGGTCACCAAACTTAATACACTTGGCCTATTCAGATGCTCCATAGGAATTAAAGCATTTTAAATACCACATAGCATCTAATTAAGAAGCAAAGTAGGGCAGTTAAAATGGTAGACATGCTCTACAATAAAATTTCAATCTAGCTTGTGACGTCCTAGGGGGAAAAAAGTGTTTGATAACATAAGTGTTCAAGGTCTGTTAAAAACACACATAAAGAAAATAGATTATCAGGCATGTTAAATAAAGCAAAATCCCATTTCTTCCAATGCCATGTAGCCACCCATTCTCCTGTAGTGGCAGCTGATATTTATTATGCTGCGTTAGAACTGGTTGGTGGATGGCATGTTGGAACAGCCCGTGGACCTCCAAGGTTCTGCCTCGATTCAGTCACACACTCCCTGTGTGGCCCTGGGGAAGCCTAGAAGTTTGCTTCTGCAAATGGAGAATAGCAGCTTAATGCTCCTTGGAGTGCTATGAGCCTTGGAGATAACAGGCTGATGAGGGCAAGGAAAGCACATGGATAAAACGGTTGTCAAAGTTTGTCTTGGTAGGATTCCCACGGGTGGCATGGTGTGAAGGACTCAGTCTGCTGCTCTGCAAAAAAGGAGATGTTTTATCTGTGTATTTGGAAATCACCCTATGTCAGTTATTTCCTCATTTCTTCTGGCAAGATAAAAAATAGAAATACTTTAAAGGAACCAAGTGCAAAATACGTTTGCCACAGAAAGCCAGGAAAAAGTCCCTCTGTGGACAATCTCCTGCCTCCACAGATTACTAAAGTAACTAACAGGCATGAAAAATAGATTAGGTCCTGTTTTCCTTGTTTTGTAATGAATAAACGAGACAATTTACTTCCTTCGGTTTTGGTTTTTGTTTCTTTCTTTCATTTTCTGATCTTAGAAATACAAAGAAGGTTGGGTTTTTCTAGAGGATTCATTGGAGATCTCAGGTCTGCTTCCACATCTCGTTCTTAGTCTGTATTTTGTTTGACAGGAATGGGGCAGAGCATCTTTAATAAAAGAAAGTGTACTTTTCCTCTGATGCCAAGAGAGTTTGAGTGAAACAGATGCTAATTAGAAAAAAAGCTATGAATTTCCAGGTTGCCAAAGTGTGAAGGCCATATAGTTTCAGTGCAAACACCCAGGTTGTTTAAAGCTGCACTAAACTGCACCTTTAATTCTTTTCAGGTGTTCAACAACACATAACTATGACCGGGACAGGAGATGGGGACACTGTGCTTCGTTGCCCAAACACCACTCAGGTAAGGCGAGCCATTGCTGGGTTGCTGCAGATACCTGGCTCCTACTTTGCCACCTGCAGTAAGGAGGGATGGTGTCTTCAGTGCTACTTTTATTTGGCGTACACAGAGCAAGCCTTCACATGAACTGTTTCCAGGATCTCTCTGTGTCTCTGCATAACCATAGCATTAGACTGTGAATATCATGCAGTCTTTAATTCACTCTCTGTTGACTAACGAAGTCACGGACAGAAATTATGGTAATGCCAACACGGAAATCTGAACTACTGGAGCCAAGCACAGAGGCATTCATCTTCTCCTCCCTCATGGCTTGGATGCACCTTTTATTTTTCTCTTCACTTATTCATTTAAAGAGCTGAATTTTCTGTCTGGCCAGTTAATTTTTTAGAAGGTACAGAAACACTTCACACTCTGTACAACACACAGCTACCACTTCCAGTTGTCCTTCCTCGAGATCTCAAGGTAAAGAGCAGACCTTCAACAGCAGACTTTCTTGGGCTTTGGGCTGTGTCAGAGAAGACAAGAGGACAGATACATTCATTGCAGGGGTACCAAGGGACAACAAAATGGTTACTTACCTGAGCAGTGCTATGGCTTCATGTGGTCACCACACTCCAGTGCTACGGCTTCGTGTGGTCACCACACTCCAGTGCTACAATTACCTTACTCCAAAAGTCTGCCTAAAACAGGAAGCCAAGGTCTGTGGCAAACTCCCCTTTCTACATAAGTCACTTTAATTGACACATTGGGTGAAAGCACCATACCCCAAAGAGTTCAGTGGGGAACATGCATCCCTGTCCTCAGCAGTACCTTGATGGCTAGCCCTTGCTTGTCTCTGTCTCCCCGGCTCCATGTTTCATGAGTTGAATGCTGGGGAATCTCATTTTATAAGGAACATATATATCTAATTCTCAATATATACAGCAACAGACCAGCACTGAAAAATCTGGTGTTGCACTGACCAGACTTGATGCCCCTGAGCTTGTTTTTTTTTCTGATCTGTGTCTAAATGCTGATCATGTTCCTCTTTTCTCCATCTCACTACTTTCAAATGTGACCTGTCTTGTTTAGCCTGCAGGATACAACCAGATGCCCTTAGATGTTCGTTTCCCACTTTCAAATGAAGGGCATTTTCCATGATCCCCTTGCAGGGAGTTCTCCTCTGTGTCAGGAGTCTCATCACCAAGCTGATTGCAATCCACCAGAGTGCTTGAAAAGCCAATGTTAGCTGAATCATGCTGGCAGTCTAAAATTAAGCAGTGCACAGATCATAATTTCAGACTTAACAACTTCAAATTATTTTCCAGCCTGGCTTTAAAGCAGATTAACAGTAGATCAGAGACAAATGACCTAACCCCAAACAAGCAACAATGTATGTGTCTTTGTAATGCAAGTATGTCAGACACGAACATAGATTTTATAGACAGCTCATGCTTACAAGAGTTAGGTTATGAGGGCTGCACTACTTATTCATGAGTGCCTTCCCAGAGCTTAAAATGTTGGAAACTGTAACTTGCAACTGCTTTAATCCTCCAGTGAAACACTGGCTGTCATAGTGGTGGCTGGCTGACTCAAGGAGGATTTTCCAGTAGCTGAAGAAGGAGATCTCCCAAGCCTAGTGTTGCATTTCTAGGGGTGCCTTGTGCCACCTCTGTCCCTCAATCTGCCCATCGCCATTGCCCTGCCAGACCCACATGCAGTTATCTCCGCAGTGAGCTGGCTGCCCACAAGCCTTTTTGAGCTTGCTGGGTCGTTTTTGCCAGTTATCCACCACTGCTGCACAGGGTGGTTTCCAACAAGAGAGCCATCCTGTCTGCCTGTCCCTTGCTGCAGGGTACCTGGCTACTGCTTTTTCTCCAGAAAAAGAGAGTTCTATATGTGAGAGAAGAAAGGAAAGAGGAGGAAAGATGGAGTAGCTGGAAGAGATGAGTGCTGGCTGTTGCAAAGAAAATACTTTATTTCTGGAAGCATTACGAATTTTGCAAAATTAAATAAAAGTTCTTTAGCTGTTAAGTTATTTATAAACATAAGTCTACTTATTTTTTTAAGCAGCAAGCACTATATTTGGACTTGGAGAATGTTTAACAGATCACCAGCCATAGCTTAAAGAGAAAAGATTTATGGTGAGGTTGAAAGGAAGGAGCAGCATAATGGCTGAAGGGAATTTCAAGCAAACAGGATGAAAGTTGGCCTGCTGGGGAAGATAGCTGGGAATAAAGAAGCAGTCAAAGTGAATAATGCTGATCTTTAAAATGTGGAAAATACATGATTTTGCTGTGAAAAAAAAATCCACTAAATTATTAAATTTTGGGAGGAATCTCAACCACTTTATAGACACTCGAAAAACAAGAAAAAAAAGAATTTTTTGGGGGAAGAGAGTATCCTTTGGCCATGAGAGATGGGTGAGGAGTGTGTGAACTGGGGTGGGGAAGGAGCTGCTTGAAAGCAAGGGCTGAAGCACGAACTCTCTCCAGGCCAAGAATACCATATGTACATGGGGAATCGACTTGAAATCATTGGAGCTGCTTACAAATTAGTGTTAAGCAAGTGTTGGAGGCATTGATCCAGAAAAATACATCTGCCAACTTCAAGAGAAAGTTTAGCTGAAAAGCATTTAGCTTCAAGGATGATGTGAAGCTCAGGTATGAAGGCTCTGCTGAGGGAGATGTTAGTACTGCACTGCACAGAGCCACAGCTCACCATAAAAACACCTAAGGTGCTTGTTCAACCCTCCCCTTAAAATCAGTGGGAGCTTTATTGCTGCCTCCAGGTTTCCAGAGGATCCTCCACTCCTGCCCAAGGGATCTCTGTGGAGACTGTGTGTAGTATCTGTGACCCCTTTACATATACAGGCCAACCGGGCTGTGAATGTGTAGTTCTGTATATGTACATATATTTGCATAAAAGTGCAATGCCCCTATGTGTCGAACTGCCAGATCTTGGGCAGTCTGTTAGGACTACTGCTCTGAATGTCTGGAAGTCTTGGACAAATGGTCAAAATCCTAGGGAGGCCCAGACTGGGGGGGGGAAATGTGCCAGACAGTGAGGTTTTTTAAGAGAAGTTTGGACTGATATGGAAAGAAGAAGTAAAGTGGTGTGGGCTGTGCAGGCAGAAGGAAGAGGCATCATCCCAGGAGGGGCGCTGGTGAAGAGCCATCCCGGTTCTGGGAAATATGTGTGGCAGAAACAGCACTTTTTGTGGGAAGATATGGGTAGAAAGGTGAGACGAGGCTACTGCTCTTTCAGCAGAGCTGCAGAGAGGTGAAGCTGAAGTCAAGGTTATTGCTAGTGAGCATTGAGTGTTTAATGCACGAGAGTGGGGAGATTTTGCTGGGTGGCTTTAGACATTGCCTGAGCAGACAGAGACTTGGCACTTTCCAGTTTATTCATAGTTAATGGTGGACAGAGTTCCCTGCAGGGAACTGTGATGTGTCCATGTACTCATGAGTAGAAGTTGTTCCTGGACTCCAGGAAAGGTGGGAAGGGACACGAAGCTCCAAGGAGGTCAGACTGGAGTAGTGGGTGGCATGTAGTGAGGGACGCTGACTGGAAAGAAATGGAGGACTGGAAGTGCTTTTTGTAGATTTAAAGAAGGTACAAAAAATGGCTTGAGCATTGCTGTATCAGAAGATGGCTTGGAGATGAAGTCATGATTTGGATGTGATGGGAATAGGAAGCACAGGATTTTCCTTTGAGGAAACATTACACCACTAAGAGTTTCACAACTATCAAATAGCAGGAACAGTAGGAATGTCACTGCCTTTACTTGCTTTCCCTTGATGTTATCCTGGAGTGAAACCACCAGTGAATACACCCAGAGCTGTATCTGGTATCAATTGCACCACTTTATTCTGAAGTAAATATTTTGATCCACGCAGAGTAACCTCACATTTACACCACTGTGGCAAACTTCAGGATGTACCTTTCATGCTTTGCTTCAGCCCCGTATCTGCGTGCCTGTGTATCTACATGTTGCATCCCATGCTTAGGACCACGCTCTCTAGCTGAAGGAGCACCTGGATTGAGTAATTCTACAGTTGCCCTCCAAGAGTTTGACTAGAAGATCCTAATGCAGGCAAGCTGTTGGGCTAGGTCTGCAATAGATGTAAAACATGATGTTGGCTAACTTCAGGGGAGAAGTTAACATCCCTTGACACTGCCTGAAATCAGGAACATTGCCTGGCCAGTAAGACTCTTGCAACTTTTGTGTTGCACATTACCAAATAAAGCTTCTATCTCAGGAGTTAGAGGGTTGTCCTGGCACATCCCCTCCTCTCCCACCATATTTTCCCACGATTTAGAAAAATCTTTAGAAAATAGACATATACTAGACTGGTTCAGTTTAGTCTTGCTTGGCCTGATTTAACTTGGATGTGCCCTTGTTTTCCTTTATTTTTTTTTCCCTTTGTTCCAGCTGTCCATTAATTTTCTACATAATCCAAAAAGCCATAGCAATTCTTCTGTCGGGGGTTGCCCTTTGTGTAATTTGAAAGAGAGATGCACAATCCCAGTCGCTGATGTTGAAATGGGAAGCGTGCAGGGCAGCAACCCGGGCAGAGGCAGAGCTGCAGCCTTCCCTCCCCAGCGTAAAGGCACAGCTCCATCTTGTGGGCATTTGTCCCATCTTCTTCCTCACCACAGTGGCAGCTCTGGCAACTTCATGCGTCCCTGGACCTCTGGACAAGTTACGCTGGGGAAGTTTCAGCTCAGTGATTTACTATACGGTTTTTAAAAGCTGGATAAATATAGCTGCTATACAGCTAGAATCAAACCCAATGTGAATTAGCTGGGTAAACTTTATTTTAGGTTAATAGTTGGTATTAAAACCACTGTGCATGAGACCAAAACGGTTCATGTAACCAAGCCGATGCGTAACGCGACAAAGCATGGCTTATCTGGCACCTGTTAACAACAACTTCTTCTGTGGCCTGTCTAGATCACTGTGCAAACAACCCTTGCCAAAACGGAGGGACCTGCTCTCTCACTCATGGCCATAGGATGTACCACTGTACCTGTCCTGAGGAATTCACGGGCAAGGACTGTCAGATGAGTAAGTATCTTCTTCCATGAGTGTTACAACACGAAATACGAGCAGTAAGTAGAGCTTGCTAATGTTTGCTTAATGAAAAGGTAGTGCTGTTGTGATGGGAGAGACCACTGCAGCATGAATGTTTGTGTAGGCGGATTTCCAAATGGTTATGACAGACAATCCATACTGACAGGACAGCTGAAAATAGCTTGATTATACAATTATAAATCCAAGCATGCTCTGAGCCAGTGAGGTATTAAGCTATGTGAAACACAAAGAACCTCTTCCCCTCCCTTTGCTGTTTTTAAGATTTAAATATCCCTTACATGTTTGGAAATTACTAATAATATCATCTAGTAGGTAGGGCAGAGAGACATGAAAAAACAATGTTTCAGGTGATGCCTTATGTATATGCACACATAGGTCTATTATGACTTTCCCTATGATGTCAGCTTTGCACCAGGGCAGCTGCTCCACTTCCGTGGTAGTCATTTTTGAAGGAGGAGAGTTGAGCCAAAAGGCTTTGCTTGGGTTATTTTTCCAGTTTTATGGTGATGTTGCTCCCAATTTACTGCGCATCAAGTAAGGAATTAGGCTTTTACACCGAGGGTTTTCAGCTGGCCTTGCTGTTGTTTAATGAAAGTTTTTCATAGAATCATAGAATCATTTAGGTTGGAAAAGACCCTTAAGATCATTGAGTCCAACCGTTAACCTAACACTACCAAGTCCCCACTAAACCGTGTTCCCTGCAGCTCTACACTTCTCTCACAACAATACACAAAGAAGCCTTTTTCAGTGTTGATGCTGCACTGTCTCTAGCACAGCCCATCATCTGCAGATGATGCAGTGAAGAGAGACAGACACAAGTATATACCACTGCTTTGGTATTTTCTGTTTGTTGAATGAACTTTTGGAAGGGCTTAAGTAATGGTGATGCTGTCATGCCCACAGGGCTTTAGAAGAAAGCCACCTCTGCCTTGAGGTCCTTGGAGCTGCTGTTATAGTGGCTTAGTGCCCCCACACAATGGAAGCTGTCTTGCTTGAGAAGCACTGTCAACAAACATATATCTGCTCAACAGGAAAAAAGGGATGAGCAGGGAATGATGGACACTGCGGTGCCATTCCCTGAAAGGAATAATCTCAGAAAGCTTGTGTTGTTTTTTACGCTGTTTCAGAGAAATGTTTTGACAACAGTCTCTACGAGCTCTTTGATGTGGGCATGAGCTGGTCAAGAGTCCAACAAGGAGCTGTGGAGCAGTGCACGTGTGTGAACGGCCAGATTGAATGCAGGAGTGTTGATCACACAAGTAAGGCACTATTTTGTATTACAGCTGTTTGACTGCATGGAGTGGGGATAAAGAACAATCAGGATATCAAAGCCTGAGAGAAGTTATACACAGTAATGCTGCTCTCGCAGCTCGTGTATTCTCCCCAAAAGAGAACATTTTAGCTTTCCTTCCCATGTGTAAGCAGTAATGCTGACCCAAGAAATCACTTCAATGTGTCCATCTTTATTTGAGGAAGCAATTATACACTTTAAGCTGAATTTTAGGGACACACGTCAGTGTTTTCTTTGAGGGGTGCAATCCTGAACTGCAGTATGTAAGAATACATAACAAATTATATAGCAGAAGTGTTAAAATATCTCCTCCAAAATCGTAACATGCCTGCGAGGCACACCCTCTTCTACTCTTCCCCTGCACACCTACAATCACTTCATATTGCTTTTTCATCTCTGGGTTTTCTTCCCAAGCCTATCCCACTCTTGAGTTGCCGGCCTGTAAACTACCCACCTCCAGGATCCCACATGCCCTGCATCGACTCAAGAGTCCCCATGATTTTTGGCCTTGACATATCCGTTCCTGTCCGTGGTGATCCTTATGTTATGAAGTCTCCTCCTTGTTTTGAGGCTGCCAGGTCCCTGACACAGCTGGCCAGCTATCTGCAGGGCATGTGCTTCCTCTGGTCACTATCTGATGAAGCCAGCAGAGCACCTCCATTTTGGAAGGAGAGATGGTGGGAAGTGAGCCATATACCTCACCTATATATCTGCTCTAGCATGGCTATTCTGTTATTCAGGGCTGACTTTTACCCTGCCCAGACTTTGAAGTAACTGAGTAAGCTTCATAAAAGCTCTTTGAAATAGGTAGATGCTTTTTTTCTAATAAAAAAGGAAAAAACCTCCCCAAAGTGCATATGCTTGGAGAGGGTGTACTAAAGTAAGTTAAAACGGACTGATTCTCTTGAATAGTTTGTACCTTCGGTTTGATCTTTGGTTTCTGCTTGTAGGTTGTGTTCATGATGCTTGCATGAATGGTGGAGAATGTAAAATGGTTACCTTCAGTGGGAAAATAGTATGTGATTGCAAAGGAAATTATGCAGGAAAGTATTGTAATATTGGTAAGTATAATAACCTACCAGTGGGCAGGGAATTTGGAGTTTTCTTCTGGGTGTGAAGCTGGTGGGTTTTGCCTCTGTGTAGTATTCTGCCTTTACAGACACTTCTTGTAGTAACTGAAGAGTCACACAGGACAAGTGTTTAATGTATTCCTCCAGTGTAAAACATAACACACTCTTCATCACTGAGACCCTGATTCTAAAAATATTTGTTCACTACCTTAACTCTATGGAAAATTAATCACAGTAATTTGAATCCAATTACTCATGCCCATATGAAGAGTGCATGCTTCAGGGTTGTACTCTAGTGCAAACACTTCCCCACGGATCCATGCACCCACTTGTAATGTAGGGATTTACACTTTGACAAAATCTAGCAGCTGACTGTATTTGGTAGCACCAGATTATTGTGGGAAGTAGACAAAGATAAAATGCATACCCTTTGTTTGGCTTACCTTGTACTTTAAATTAATAGCACATTTAGCCCAGTACAGCTTACCTAGAAATCCTGACTCGCACTGGTGGGACAGGGCAGAGAAAACTGCTTTTTGGTGCCTATGTGTTAGTTCTGTGGTGCTTCTTATTAGATGCTATATAGTTTTGGATATCATTTTCCTCCAGAAGATTTCTCACTGCAGGAGTTAAATCTGCTTGTGAAGATTACCTGCACGCTAACTCCTCAAGTTATATCAGTATCAGTGGCTGCTTTTAAAATACAGCAGGTTTTAGGCATACATTATGATAGACTTTTAGTTACACCAGCCTGTGGTCCTGTCAACTCACTGGCTATGTCTTTCTGAGTATATAAATCCCATGGCATGTCAAAATTGAAGATAAGTCTCCTGGTAGCTATGGTGGGCACCTAGTTGGTCCAAATGGGTGGTAGGGTAAAAAACCATGGTAACGAATACTGGAATTGGTATCTGGCATTCTTTTTTTTTTTTTTTTTTTTTTTCCTGATGGATAACAAATGGTATAGCCATCTATTCAAGCTGGAAAAAAACCCCAAACGTTTGGGAGACCAGCAGTCCAGCTGGAATAACAAATAGCAGGAGCAAACTGGCAAATTGAATGATGCATGAACTGATCCTGAACCTTCGCTCACCGTGTACCTGATGAATCGTGCAAAATGGGCTTGTGACTCTTAAGTCCTTCATAAGGAGCAATATTGTAGCTCTGTTTTTTTGTCCTTTAGTTGCCCTAGGGAGAATTGTCCCAGGCTTTGCGAACGCTGCTGCACAGATCCGGGTGAGGGGCTGTGTGTGCATGCTGCACGTGAGAGCTGGTGTCCTGGGGAGGATTGCATGCTGCTCACCTTCACATGAAATTGCTTTTCAAATTTCTATTTCCTTACCAGCTTCCCTTGCCCAAAGCAGCAGTGCTGTGCATAAACATTCACCCAGCACAGCCTGGATTATAAATATCAGGATGACAGTGTTATAGCTGTAATACTGGTTTCTGTCTGCCTAGCTTAGAACAAGAAATAAGCAGGTGCTCTTTGATTACTTGAAAATAATAAAGCAAACATTTGGTTTGCTAAACAAATGCCTTTAGATGCTTAGAAATCCATCTGCGTTCAGCTGCCTAACACCCCCACACAAAATGGGAACTGAAGGATTATGTTTATGCATCAGGGCCCTTCAAACAAGTTTAAAAACGAAAAAACCTTCTTTGCCAAGATTCAGTCATTCTAAATTCACACAAATAAATTAGTGCGGGGTGTCTATAGACCTGGTAACATCGTCACACAAGGGCAATGGCACTCTGATGAAAGCACTGGGAGCTTGTGCTCTCACAGCACACAGAACTGATTTTTAAATATATGTTGGATGAACTTGTTCTTCAATCCTTCAATTTGATTCTGTGAGCACAGCTGGCTTTTTTTTTCTTTGTTTTCCTTTCTGCTGTCTTGTATGGTCTCCCTTGTCTGACATGACTGAATTGTGAGGTTACCTTTTAGTCTGAATAGCTTATGGTTATAATGCTTTATTCAGAGAAAGTTACACTGTCTCCAAAATACACTTTATTCTAAATTATTCATTTATAGAGACAACCTTAAAACCAGATTATGACGCAAAAGTATCTTCCTTTTTTTAAAGAAAAGAAAACAAACAATTTAATGAACAGTAAGTACCCGCAAATGTTATTGGGCTGTGATGTGCTTGAGGTCTCTCTGATTTCCTCTGCCCTTGCCTTCTACAAAGAATAACCAGTCTTCATATGTTTCTAATGTAAAACCAACTAATTTATCTTGACATTGCACTCATAAATATTAATAAACAAAGTGCCATCCTGGGTCAGCTGACAAGTCTAAGTGCTACTGTGACTCAATCATTGGCAAATTAGAGGATGACTGAGGAATAAAGCAAGTAGCAGGAAATTACTGAGAAATACTTCTCCTGGTTGAGGATTTTCTTAGCAGATGGCTGGACCATCATATTTAATAGAACTTTACCTGTTTTCCATCACTTTGTCTAAACTCTTTAGAACTCCTTTATGCTTTTTCCTTTCACAGCATGCCATGTCAAGAAGTTCCAGAATTTAAATAGATGTGATGAGAAACAGTATTTTCTATTGTTAGTTTAAAACCTACTGCCTGATAATTTCATTTCACCTCTTTGAACAGTGAGTAACAGTGAATAATCATAACTTTTGTGATTTTACAGATACCTATTTATCTGTCTGTTAGTTGTTTCTTTTTCAGATTTTGGGGTCCCTTTCAGGAACCAAAAATCATCTTTTGACTGTTCTTAACATTCTCTTGAAAACAATGGTCATATATATATGTATATATATATTGCCAAGCCATTAGCATAATGGCCATGCGGTTACTGGCAAATTATGAGCTGACTTAAAAGAAAAAAAAGGGAGGTGATAAACGTAACATGGAAGATATCTATAACAAAGGAGACTGATATACAAAAGACAGTTTCTAATATAGATACCTATTCTTTGTGGTAATATAATTTCTAGCCCTTAAAGAAGAAATCTTCAGTACTAAAGAAAGAACTGCCATTTTAGAAAACGTTCTAACAGTTTATGCATAAGATTTCAGTGAAGTTTAATTCCAAAGGAAATTAGGTACATCACCAATAAATCCATCCCAAAACAGATGCTGTTCAAAATTATTCAAGGATGCCTTTTTAATTAAGTTTAATTCATAATAATTGCACTTGGATATGCACTTATTTGTAGAAATAAGGATTTTTGTATTAAAAAAGTAACTTCATTCACTTTGGAGACAGAGGTTTTGCTGAGAGTGCTCTGAATCCAAGCTTTAGGTAAAAATTCAGATCTAATTATGCAGTCATGAGTAGCAATAGCTGTCTTAATGTACACAGAAAGTTACAAAAAGGGCCCAGACTCAGCCACTTTGGCAGTCATAAATGTGAGGAAGAAGTGAAACCCAAGAAGGATGTGAGAGTGATATTTATCTCTGGCCCAAGTTGGTATAGAGAGTGGAGAGGGAGTTGTAAAGATTTTTTGGGAGACATTTGACTTCAGAAATCTTTAACTTCATTGGAGGTGATAACATGGTTATAAACACGTAATTGTAAAATTTATTTGATATTTTATGTTTCTTTGAACAGATAGGAGCCATGGTAGAGATATTGGTTGAATACATTCTGGATGTAAGGATAATGGATGGATGTTATAATGAATGGATAATTCATTACAATAAACATTTATGCAGATGTCAAAGGAAGTTGGGGGGTGGAGGAAGGAGATGTAGAAATTTTTTTAAGAGATTGGTGTCTTTAGGTTTCTGTGGTTGAAACCTCCCCATTGTAATCACACTGTAGTCCTTAGCGAAGTGGAAACTAGCACACGTTTTGCCCCATTTCCTGGGTAAAAGCGCTTCCTTCTCCTTATCATGGAGTTCTTCCTTTGGTATTATTTTGGGGTGTGGGTTGCTAGTTAATTGGGGGGGCTAATTTCTATATTTAGGTTTATTCTTTATTTATCGGGGGGTATGTTAGTGGGGATCTTTATTCTGTTTAATTGGTTGCCAAGCCTTTTCCTGAAACATTTTGTCTATATACGTGGCTTTGTTGTGTTACTGGTGATCAGAGGAACAGCTGGTAGTCATATGTGGATAACTGAGGTGGGGTTTAACACTCAGTATTTCAAGGTTTGTCAGTTTTCAACTGGATTTTTAGGTTCTAGAATTACCTCAATCATTAGGTGGTACATTGTTTTTGAAGGCTAGCTGGGGGTTATTTCTGGCTCGTTCCTTGTATTAGGACTCAGCAACAGCTCAGGGTGTGTTCTTGTGGAACTGTTTATGAGAATAAGGTAGCTGTGTAATGAAGTAAATCAGTAGGATGGATGAGTTGTGGCATATTTTGGTGCTTTTCATGATTAAACTAATGAAGAGGTAGAAAGTGGCACTTGGAAAGCCTGTTTGGATTTGTGTCACTGTGGTTGTGGGTTACAAGAGATGGTCGGTTTGAGAGTATTGGGAGGACTGCACAGAGGGTTATATCTTCTGAGTATTCTTTGGATTAAGGTTTGGGTAGCAGTGATGTTTTTGGTAGTATTTTGGTCATGATGAAAGATGAAGTTGCTGAAGGTATTTTTGAAAACCCTTTAAGTTTTCTAGTGGTGGTTTTTTTCCTAATTAGGCTACGGATAATGGAATCAGAGGGGTACCATAGCTTTAAAGAAAGTATGAGTTGGAATGCTAATTGTGGAACGTTTATGTTTATATAAGGAGATGTATTGTTGTATATCAGAAGTAGGTTGAAGATTTTTAGAAAAGGAAGATGACAAAATAGCTGAATATTTAATTATATACAGGAAGAAAACCCCTCTTGGCCACGTCTTTGGGGGTTAAACCAGGGGAGTCTGAAGTAATAAAAGAAGTAAAAAAGACAGCAAACCCACCTCTTTTAGTGGTTGTTTTACTGCAATAGGGTGTTTGCAGTTTTCTACCAAAAAAAGGTACTTTAGTAAAGGAAATTCAACTCTGGAGGCTGGAGGGAAAGTTCTAAATCTTTATC